TCAGCGAAGCGCTGTCGATAAATCCGCTTATACCTCACAATGGATTTATTATATACGCGAATTGACGCGTTTCCCTCGCGCGCGCGCGCGTGGCGTATCTTAAATGCATCGCGCGGCCGATAGCGCGTAATTTTCGCTCGCCATATCTCCGCGTCGCTAATTGTGAAATTAATGAAGTGCAGCGCGCCGCGATTTACGTCAAACCGGTGGAGTGCGATTACACACGATTATATCGCACACACGCACATACATATAACGCGTGTCTCAACGCGTCTCGTCCGCGAATTACAACACAACATACCGAGAGACACACACACACACACACACCCATACAGACACACTCACACGGATAAGCGCCTCTGCGACTCTCGACATCTCACCAAGTGGATTGTGGCGATGACTTGATGATTAATGAGATTAGGTATGAAATCGACATTCGTCGACGGCAGGAAGCACCGGCGATCGTCCCACTGCAATCGGCGGTGCGAGTCAAAAGAGTTAGTAGCATGGGCATGTGTGTCTGTCCGTCAATCCCAATCGCAGCACGTTAACTCTCTATATATATCTCTATATAATATTATATACATATATATTATACATAAGACCATTTTATATAAATCCACATATCCATTTACTCCGAATACTCTCTCCCTCTTTATATTTCTACGTTCACATGTCTATATGTATGCGTCCATGTGTGTGTATTTTTCATACTTACAACACACACACACACACACACACACACACACAATATATGCGTGTTGTCAGGGCGCGGGAGCTCGCGAGGCTTCACGGTGAGCTTTCGTAGCAGAAGCGGGTCGAAGAGGGGATCGTCGAGATCGTCGCCGAGACGTCAATTGGCGGGCCAAACGCGTCGGCCGTCAATTGCTTTGATGACTACGCCGTATGGCCGAGTGGGGATTTCGTTTGTCGCTTATCGCGCGCGCGCGAATACATGGAGAAACAAAGGTTCGGGAACGATCTCCGAAAGGACGTTGTCACCGTGAAGCCGGAATCGCGAATCGCAATCTCGCGCGCTCCGCGCATCGTCACGGTATTATACATATACGCGACTCACACACGGAAAAAAGCATTCTGTCGGTGTAACCGGCAATTTTCCGCCGCCCGGGGATCAAAGGAAAATCCCGCCGGTCGCAGGGCGGGGGAAGGAACCTCCGCAGGAGGTCTCTCTCCGCTCAGCCAATCGCTCACTTGTTGTTGTCTCGGTCGAGTTTGAACGCAACTGAATATATACTCAGACGAGTGTGATGTATTTTATGCTCTCGCCGAATGGAGAAATGGAGAATTTGTTTCCGGCCAATTTCAGTTTGCTCCTCTCTCGCTAAGGAAGTTAACTGGGATGTTTACGAAACGTCGGGAGTAAATCCATGATGGAAACCGTACCGAGTGGCGTTGCGACCGATGTTTACGAGCATTCGGTAACAGGGGGGGGGGGGAGATTTCGTCTGGTCTCTCCGTGCTCGGTTACACTGACGGAGATGGATTTTTTCCCGTGCACGCCGAGCTTCTGCACGCTTTCCTCAGGTGGCTGTCACCAGGTGGATATACGCCGTGTAAATGCGTATCGTGTATGTGTGTGTGTGTGTGTGTGTGTCCGGCCGATGGATGTTGAGCCTCTGCATGCATCCGCGCGTGAAAGACGCGCATAACTCTCACTCTCGCAACTCCAAACGCCACGACGTTCGTGATTCGTGTGTGACCCGCGAAGAGTCGCGCGCGAACAACACAACACCCGCCGCCGCATCCTCGCCGCATCGCGAGAAACAATCCGTTAGCAACAACTCGTTCGACTCGGCCGATTGTCAGCGACGTGGATAGTTTCCGATGGTTCTGTGATCTCTGAGAAAAAAACAGTTGTCTAGAAAGGACTATATATTCACATTTATTTAGTGTCCCTTTCGTCTTTTTTTATCAATTTTAGTTTTTAACTCATTAGATTCTGAGAGTAACGGAATATACTGGAAAATGAAGCGCAAAATCTTCTGATTAAGAATTTTAATTGAGAAACTTGCCGTTTATTCTGTCTGTTTAGAAATGTCAGCGTATCAGACATCGCTCTGGCTTTGACAATTCGTCGTCGCTCCAAAGTAGATTTATGCGTTCCACTTCAAGCGAAGGAGATAACTTTATTAATCGCCGATCGGATGATTTGAGATATTTCGCCGCAAATTGTCGCGATCGCTTGAATAATGAAAGTGTGCGGGGAGGAGGAAGACTGTTGAAAACTATCGACAGTTTGAAATGAATTATCGATTGTTACCGGCGGTGTACATCATCGATAGCTCTCCGTCTTTAGCATTCATCCCGCGAGAGGCTCCTCCCGCCAGAAACGAAATAAAGTAGACTGTCTTGATTGCGCGGCGAGGGAGTTTTGCGGACCGGACGCGAACCGCGCTATTTAATATAAGAGGAGGGAAAAAAAAAAGAAAGTACACACGTACAACGGAGAGAAGCCGAGAACGTCGACTTCTCAATCTCCCGAATACTTGCTGTTGGCAAAAGCCCCGCGGGGAACTCGCCGAGTTTCCGAGTTGGCTGTTTTTTAATTAAATTGCCGCATAAAGCGGCCTCTCATATTTATTCATTCGACCAACACGCGCACGTGCAAATAGGTGAATATGAAACGCCCCGGTGAAAAGTTCCTTCTAGATAGCCGGCTGACCGCGACGGTCCATAAACCATCCGTCGTCGTCGTCGGACGAATCATCGTATCGTCGGTGTGACGAGACTGTGGCGGACTACGCGTTGCGATCGACACGCATGGCGTTTCGCGCGTCGTATCGCCGCGCGCGGGGCGAATCTACATTTCTATCGGTCCGCTTTTCAAAGCTCCCCGCGACTGTATCAGATCGCGCGCGAGCGATCAATTACATCATCGCGACTTTTATCCCGCCAGCTGCGGCGAAGCACCGTCGTCGGCACTCTTTCCGTCCTCGATACGCGCGACGCTGATCGTCGCAGAACCCGCGGTCGTAAGCGGGCGGATTAACGGCGAATGCGTATAAAATACGCAAACGTCATCGAATCGGAATCCCGGACGGGGCAGTAAAATTTTATCGCTTCTCTCGCGGTGAGACACGCTCTCTCGCTGCACGTGTCGCTGCGGTCGATCGTCCCCGTCACTCGAGTCCAAGTGAATCGTCGCAAGAGATGGATAGGGGGGGGGTGGGGGGGGTGATACGGCGGACCCGCGGAATAGTTCGTAATCCCCGGCTCGTTTATCGGTCCGTTGCTTCTTTTGAGCAACGGGAGCGAGTTCCGCCATTCTCTCGGAAGCTTCTCTCAGTGGCTGCGAATCGCGAATTTGAGATGTCTCTCTCTCTCTCTCTCTCTCTCTCTGTCGCTCTTTTTCGTCGCGTTTACTTTACGTGTCTCCGTCGGGCCTTTGACGCTTTTTCGCCGCGGGTCCGCTCGCTGCGATGGCAACGACTCGCGAAAGACGAGACGCGGGAATTATTCGGCGAACGCGCACACGTTCGTCGTTGGTCGCGTTGGCACGTCCGCCAATGGAAATGAATGAAAATTTACGGCGCCGCACAGTGGGGCCGGATAACATTCTTTGATTGAAAATTCTCTAGGGACCTGAATCTATCCAACCGATCGTCGATACACCGATGGATGAGGTTTGATCCTGAATACATTCCGAAGAGATCTGTCTTGCCAAGATTGAGAGAAAAGTTCTTTTCTCGAATTACTAGCCCGAAAAGAGGAAGAATTATCGTTAAACACGAGAAACACTTGTGAAATATTCATTATTCGACACTTACTTCTATCTAATAGCGTATTCAGCGGATTGAAACTATGAAACCAATCAACCGACACCTCGAGATTTATCGATCTCGAAGCGGAAACCAATTAACCAAAAACTCATGTGCCCAAAATACAAAAACATCAAATATAGACCTTGTTAATACCGCAAAACCCAGGGATTTTGAGCCCATCAATCTAGGAATCTACCAATCCGAGAACTTTTTAGCTCGTGGCATGCACGAAGCCGTATATATTGTTGCGCGTGTCCGTCTCGCGCGTACCGAGTTCACGAAATGAACCAATACAGGAAAGGAAGAACTCTGCTTTACTCGCGATACGTACGGACTCTCGAAAATCCTCTCGTCTTAACAATATCAAGAAGAAACGTTTAAGTCACGTCTGCTCCCGGCGACGACTCTCGTGACAGGCTCTCTGCCGCTGTTGTTTCTCAACAAATTCCCAAGTCGTCCAGACAAACATCCTTCAACATGCCTAAGGCTCGCGGACAACGGACGCTGCCGTGCTCCTCGTGGCTCGTACACAATAATATTAAGAGCCCGAAATAGTCCTGGAACCCAATTTAGCCGTAGCTCGAGAACCTAACGACACTCGACTCGCTGAATATTCAGCTGTAAACCATTAAGTTCGAGCCTCGAAACTTCTCAGACAGAAATCCTAAACCCATGGAACCCTGAAGCGATAATTTTAAATCAAAATTTCGGCTGGACAGATCTCTTTGGAATTCATTCAAGATCAACCTCCGATCCACCGGTGTCGATGATCGCTTGGAAATTCAGGTCTCTAGAGAATTTTCAACCCTGAGAAAATGTCATCTGGTGCCCCGCCCCCCCTCCCCCTCTCCATTGCACCGGCGTGTTTCCGCGGCACGGCGGTGTGCCGCGCGAGCAGATGTTCCGCCGCGCCGGACGCTCGATTTTGTCAGCCTCATTATAGCGGCGAAGCCGCTCAACCATCGCGTTCTTGGACGGCAGCCAGCTGGCGAGACTCGGCGAAGTTAACGTTTACGATTTCGACGGTATTGTCTCTCTCTCGTGGCAGTCGCGCTGGATGGATATCGCGAGGCGTCGGGAATTCACGGTTTCGCGGGACGGGAAGTCGCGGGACTCCCTCGAGTATGTACGCTCCGTCGTGCGTTCCGGCCGACAGGCAGTCGTCGGGTCTTGACGAGCACTCCCGGTGGTCTAATATTGTTCTTCCACCGTGCTTAGTGATCAGCGCCCAAGGATTGATCGCCAAAGATAAGAGCGGCACGTCCGATCCCTACGTGACGGTTCAAGTCGGTAAAGTAAAGAAGCGCACGAGGACCATGCCGCGGGAGCTGAATCCGGTGTGGCACGAGAAGTTCTACTTGTAAGTAATGCCGACTATTCGGTGAGTGACTTATCCGCGATGCCCGCGGAATGCGTAATTTCACGTCGTCACTTCGATCCCGTTAGCGAATTGCCCGCCGCTCGCTCGCACGCGAGCGACGACGTGTCGCCGATTTCACGATGATGATCCTTTGCGGACGAATGCCGCCGCCGAACGTCGCTGCGGCGCGGCGAGCAACTGAAGCGTCGTCTACAATGGCAGTAAGCAGTAAGAAGTAAGCGTAAGCGGTAAGAAATAAAGCGATCACAGTCGATTGTGACAAAAATAATCAACTGTGGTTGGTCCGTTTCTTACTGCTCACTTCTTACTTCTCACTGCTCACTGCCATTGTAGACGACGCTTGAGAGACACCAATGAGAAGATCAATGTATAATCTGCTGTCGGAAAACATGCTCGACTTGCCGGAATCAGAATCGAGAGAGTTCTCTCGTCCGCAAAGGGTCTTGCCGCTTACAAGTAAACCTCGGGGAACGTCAGACGCCGATTTGTTTCCAATTCTTTATAGTTATTTTTAATGTCAAAATATAAAGAAATCTGTTATCATTTTTAGCTTGAATAAATTTTTCTCAATTTTTTCGAAATTTCTCAAGTCTTGTGTTCATTCTTTTTCTGCTCATTTCTTGTTCATTTTTTTACGTTAGACTTTGAGCGTTGAAATGTTTGCTTGTTTGCTGAGTGAACCGAAAGATTACCCAACGTCGAATGCGTAGCGTAAAACTGAACACTTTTTCAACAATGAGCGAGTCAGCCATATTAGATCCGCCATTTTGAATTTTACAAAATGGTTCTGATTCGTAATCGGCGACATGTGTGTGCAAGTTTCAACAAATCAGATATATATATTTTTTTAAGAAATATCGTTTTAAATATGTATAAAATAGCGTGCTTGTGCAAAACTTGAAAAATTTCGAAAAAATTGAGAAAATTAATTTAAGCTAAAAATGATAACAGATTTCTTCATGTTTTGACATACAAAATAACTATAAAACATTGGAAACAAATCGGCGTCTGACGTTCCCCGAGGTTTACTTGTTAGCAGCGACCGCGTGAGGCTGGAGGAGAGAGCTCCGCCGTTGGCGAAGAAGCTATACAGCTGTCGAGGTTGTGTCCTCGAAGTTTCCTCAAGTGACGTCCCGGTGAAGACGAAGATTTCGCTGAAGACGATAGTAAAAATACAGCCACCCTCTCGGAATCGCGAGGGCGAACGTTCCGTTCGCGCGTCGCAGAGTGGGGGGTCTTAATTTGCACCAATGAATGTTTCAGTCGGCTAAAGCGATTTTGTTTCGGTGAGACGGCGGGAAGCACGTCGGTTTCGCTCTTCCATTTCAGACGGAAATATTCGTATTGATTCACAAAGAGGCTCCGAGGGGGTGAGAATCGGGTAAAAAGGATCGGAGATATTTAATTCAGCGGGAGGGAAATCGCTGAATCGTATTAACGAATAGCCGAACTCGGTTGTCGCTTCGGTTTCTAATTGGATTTTCACTCGAGGAAATTTTGAGACTAATTAACGCGTATCTCTCTCTCTCTCTCTCCCTCCCTCTCTCTCTCTCTCTCTCTTTCTCTTCTCCTCTTTCCGGTGAAAGTGACGTTCTAGTTTCAAAGGCAACACGCGGTGACGGGTGACCGAAGTCAAGCGGGTTTCTCTCTTCGCAGCGAATGTCACAACTCATCCGACCGGATCAAGGTGCGGGTGTGGGACGAGGACAACGACCTGAAGTCGAAGCTGCGGCAGAAGCTGACGAGGGAGAGCGACGACTTCCTCGGGCAGACCATCATCGAGGTGCGGACTCTGAGCGGCGAGATGGATGTCTGGTACAACCTGGAGAAGCGGACGGACAAGAGCGCGGTGTCGGGCGCCATTCGGCTGCACATCAGCGTCGAGATCAAGGGCGAGGAGAAGGTGGCGCCTTACCACGTGCAATACACCTGCCTGCACGAGAACCTCTTCCACAGCCTGTGCGAGGAAAACGGCGGCATGGTGACCTTGCCGCAGGCGAAGGGCGACGACGCCTGGAAGGTCTACTTTGATCCACCCGGCGAGGAGCTCGTCGACGAGTTCGCGATGCGCTACGGCATCGAGAGCATCTACCAGGCGATGACGTGAGTGCACAGGGCAATCGCGTTCACCCTCCACCTCGTGGAAGCTCGCTTTCCTCGTCTCAGCCGGCGAGTAAGACAATTCTCCCGCCGTCGCCGTCGCCGTCGTGGCGGCGCGTGTTGAGACACGACGTGAAAAATCAGCGAGATCGTAATTCGAGTCCCCGAATCGGGGACTCGTTTGCCCGATATAAAAGAGCGAGACATCAAAGGGACGAGAAGAGATGAAGAGGGCGCGATGACCCGCTCGATATCATCGCTCGTCTCTCTCTTTCTCTCTCTCTCTCCTTAACACACGAGGCACCCCCTGTAATCACGACCCTCTACGCTGATTCGCTGTCATGTCTTCTCCGCAGGCACTTCCACTGCCTCTCAACCAAGTACCTGTGCCCAGGCGTTCCGGCCGTGATGTCGACCCTCCTGGCAAACATAAACGCGTACTACGCCCACACGACCGCGAGTCCGGCCGTGTCGGCCAGTGATAGATTCGCCGCCAGTAACTTCGGGGTGAGTGCCGGATGCCGGAGAGCTCGCGTCGCCCGCGCCGGCGGGTTGCAGAGAGCGAGTGAGGGATGAACCGGCGAGAGGAAAGCGGCGAGAAATACTCGCGCAATTTCCTGCCGACCGGCGCGCTATCCGTTATACGCGCGACTGTCCGCGCGTACTCTCTTTTTCTCTCTCTCTCTCTCTCTCTCTCTCTCTCTCTCTCGCCATATCCCGCAGATGAACACGCGCGCGCGAGCGTGTTGACTCGCCCCCCCCCCCCCGCCTCCTTCCGCCGCCGCGGCTATCAATTACGTCGCCGTGGCGCTCGCGAATAATAACGAATCAGCTGACGCGAATCTTCAAATAATCACTCGGCCAACTTTCGTGGGAACGGGAGGGGGGGGGAGGGGGGGATTAAACGGCGCGCGTTCCGGGCGAAGTCCGAATCGCGGGACTGGATAGGGGAATTTGTCCCGGAGAATAATGGCGCGAAACGACTGTTCGCAAACGAACAGCGACTTGGAGCCGAGACTCCCGGCGAGGAGTGCATTCTTTTCTCTCGCGTTAAGACGAAGAAATCTCCCCGCATTGCGAGTCCCCGCGAATTCGGGTCAAGAAGTCAAGTTCGCGCGTCGTGTGTGTTTATGGGCGCGCGTGTGCGCGTGTGAGTTTACCGCTGACCGCTTGGCCCGCAAACTTTCCGCCGAAGGAAGGCGGGGGTGGGTGGGGAGGAGGGGGGGCCGCTTGAACGCACGCTAGTTAATTAAGATTTTAATTAAGATTTTCTTCGACCGCGTTTTTCTCTCCCCGAGCCGTCGAGAGTCTGGATTCCAGCTGATTGGCAGCCGGCCGCGCGACTGCAATTTTCCCGCCGTCTCTCCGGGCGTATGGAAATTTTGTCAGCACGTTCCGCTGCGCCCTCGCGGCTCTCTTCTGTCACTTCGGGGACATGATAATACGCGGGTCGAAATCTCGCGGGACACTTAGATCCGCGGCTCTCTTAATCCCCCGGAGGCGGACGGCTGTGCGGCAAGGAGCGCGTGTGTCTTTCGTATCTCTGAATTATGCATGACACCGCCCGCGAGAATCGTCGCGACCAGTTCGATCATCCCGCTCGTCCGAGAGGACGAAACGCGGGCGGCTGCCGCTGTATCGGTTGAGAAGTTGCAACGTCGGGAAGCGACGTCGGCGAATTTCATGTCGACGTGAGGAAGGATATATATACTCGTATATCGTTGGTCTCGCGGGCGCTGAGACGCTGAAACTAAAGTGAAAACTCTCCGCTCCCGTTGTAGAAAGAAAAGTTCGTGAAACTGCTGGATCAGCTGCACAACTCCCTGAGGATCGACCTGTCGATGTACAGAAACAACTTCCCGGCCTCGAGCCAAGAGAAGCTGATGGACCTGAAGAGCACGGTGGACCTGCTGACGAGCATCACGTTCTTCCGCATGAAGGTGCAGGAGCTGTCGAGCCCGCCGCGCGCCAGCACCGTCGTGAAGGACTGCGTGAAAGCGTGCCTACGCTCGACGTATCAGTTCCTCTTCGAGAACTGCTACGACCTGTACAATCGGGAGTTCCAGGCCGACCCGAACGAGGTGAAGCGCGACTCGGACGATCACGGGCCGCGATTGGACTCGCTCGATTTCTGGCACAAGCTGATCGCCCTGATCGTCTCGGTGATCGAGGAGGACAAGAACAGCTATGCGCCCGTGTTGAATCAATTCCCTCAGGAGCTGAACATCGGTCAACTGTCGGCGGCCACGATGTGGTCCTTGTTCGCGGTGGACATGAAGTATGCCCTGGAGGAGCACGAGCAGCATAGACTGTGCAAGTCCTCGGCCTATATGAACCTGCACTTCAAGGTCAAGTGGCTGCACGCCAACTACGTGAAGGACGTGCCGCCTTACAAGGGCGCCGTGCCGGAATACCCAGCCTGGTTCGAGCCCTTCGTCATGCAGTGGCTCAACGAGAACGACGACGTGTCGTTAGAATATCTCCACGGTGCCTTTAGTAGAGATAAAAAGGAAGGCGTAAGTTTTTTTCTCCTGGCTTTGCTGCTTCTTCTCTCGCGAACATCGCGAGAATCGAGCTCCGCTCCCAGCTTTCTCTAATGCGTCGTCTTCGTCGACTCTCTCCCCTCTTGCAGTTCCAGAAGAGCAGCGAGCACGCGCTCTTCAGTGTCTCCGTCGTCGACGTCTTCACGCAGCTGACGCAGTGCTTCGACGTGGTGTCGAAGCTCGAGTGTCCAGACCCGGAGATCTGGAAGAGGTACATGAAGAGGTTCGCCAAGACCATCAGCAAGGTGCTGCTGGCATACGCGGACATAGTCAAGAAGGAGTTCCCGAGTCACCTGCAGGAGGAACGAATCGTACGTGCTCGACGATGAACCGAAAAGTCTACCGAGGAAGTCTCTGTGCTCGCCCGATAGCGCGGGAGCGCTTCATCGAGTCGCTTTATTTCGCAGGCGTGTATCCTGATGAACAACATCCAGCAACTTCGGGTGCAGCTGGAGAAGATGTTCGAGTCGATGGGCGGCGACAAGCTCGAGGCGGACGCGGCGAACATCCTGAAGGACCTGCAGCAACAGCTGAACGGCGCTCTGGACGACTTGGCGGTGCTGTTCGCGAACAGCCTCGAGCCACGAATAACCGGCTCCGTCAAGGAGGTGGGAGACGTCCTGTTGACCATCAAGGGCGGCGGACAGGTCCCGCTGACGCAGTCGGCGCAGAGAAACAACGTGGCTGCCGAAGCGGACGAGGTGCTGCGACCGCTCATGGTGCTGCTGGACGGCAGCCTGTCCGTGTACGCCGAGTCCTGCGAGAAGACGGTGTTGAAGAGGTTGCTGAAGGAACTGTGGAAGATAGTGATGAGGATCCTGGAGAAGACGGTTGTCTTGCCACCTATGACGGATAAGAGTGTACGTATTCCGTCTCCGAACGAATTGAGAATGTCCAGCGCCGTGACAGATCGCTCGGGCGCGTCATCGAGCGCGATTGCTGTAATTCTCTCGCTTCTCTCGTAGATGATGTTCAAGAATCTGACGGACAACGCCAAGAACCTCGCCGCGAACGCCAAGATAGAGGACATGTCGAAGCTGTTCAAGAATCACATGGCTGGCAAACCCGACGTGAAAAACGCTCTCAGCGGAGTCATGGTAATCGATCACAGCGTTTTGTTCCCTTCGCCCTGTTCTCCTCTCGCCCTCTTCTCCTCCTCCTCCGCATCATCCTGTCTGTTTCTTTCTCGCTTCTTGCAGTCGCGCGTTCTCTTACCTTTGCCATTGTACCTTTTTTGCGTTCGTTCGATAACCCTGAGAAGAAACTTCGCTTCCCGTCTATTGAAAATGATGATCTTACCGAAGAGAAACTCGACTCATCTCTCTCTTCAAAGAGCCGCTCTATTATAAGCTCTATTCTATGTCCTCGTAGGACATCTCCAAGGAAGTGGAGAAGAATCTTTCGCCGAAGCAGTGCGCGATCCTCGACGTCGCCCTCGACACGATCAAACAGTACTTCCACGCCGGCGGTAGCGGCCTGAAGAAGGCGTTCCTGGAGAAATCGCCTGAACTGCAGAGCCTCCGTTACGCGCTGAGCCTGTACACGCAGACGACGGACACCCTCATCAAGACCTTCGTTACCTCGCAAGTCAACCAAGGTACACACGTTGCTTTTCGCCCGTGTCACTTACGAATGTGTAGCGAGCGACGCTGTGTAACGACTATTATTTTTATATGCGTTTTGCCACGTCGCGCTACGTCGCGAGGAAGTAGCGGTCGCGATCGGGGAAGTAGTGGAAACCAGGAAACACGCACACAGACGCGCTAGTCGGCACACGACAATCTAAATTCTAACGATCACACATCACACGTCCGAGCGCGTCGCCGAAGCGTGTCGCTTTTTACACTTACGTACACGACGTAATGAAAATTGTCGGCACAGTGCCGCTGAACGACGCGTCAACGCTACGTCAGCGTCAGCGCTCGATGAGCAGCGAGAGAGGTGACGAAGGGGAAGGAGCCGAGGGTATGGAAAGCCTCGAGGAACCCCTTCGCCAGAGCAAGCCCTCTCTTCGTCGAGAGAGTCGACAAGGTACACCAAAGCGCCTTAGAAGGTCGCGACAAGTGTCGGGGGGGGGGGCGGGGGGGGCAACTACTTCTTAGGATGTAGTGAATTGATTGTTGCGTCGTCGCGTTCGAGACGTCTTTCGATGATGCGATTTCCTCCTCGCCGAGGACTTTCGTTCGACGCTTTTTATTATAATCGCTCTCTCTCTCTCTCTCTCTCTCTCTCTCTCTCTCTCTCTCTCTCTCCGCTCTCTCTCTCTCTCCTCTCTCTCTCTCTCTCTCTCTCTCTCTCTCTCTCTCTGTCTCTGTCTCTGTCTCTGTCTCTGTCTCTGTCTCTGTCTCTGTCTCTGTCTCTGTCTCTGTCTCTGTCTCTGTCTCTGTCTCTGTCTCTGTCTCTGTCTCTGTCTCTGTCTCTGTCTCTGTCTCTGTCTCTGTCTCTGTCTCTCTCTCTCTCTCTCTCTCTCTCTCTCTCTCTCTCTCTCTCTCTCTCCTCTCTCTCTCTCTCTCTCTCTCTCTCTCTCTCTCTCTCTCTCTCTCTCTCTCTCTCTCTCTCTCTCTCTCTCTCTCTCTCTCTGTCTCTTTTCTCTCTCCTATCTTTTAAATCTATTTATTTGCTTTTGCGGTCAATGGTCTAGTCAACGGTCATTGGTTCCTTCGGATTTATCAATTTATTTATCTATTTGCGTGTCTATTCTTCCCTCTGAAATTTACTAAATTTCGCAATAACATTCATTTGTAATTTCCCATAAATAGATAAGTGGTGTCACTATTTGTAACACAGTACAATACAGAGATACAATTACATTCGACGGCCTCGGCCTCGTTTCCGGTCGTATATCTGTGATCCGTTACGGCGTCGTCCTTCCGCCGCGAAGGTCACAATCTCCAAAGACGTCTCGACGATCGACAGCTGTGTTAGGAAGCTGTGCTACTGTTGATACTCTGCCGCTGCTGCTAACTGCCGCCGCCACTCTTGCCGCTACTACCGCGAACTTTACCGCGACCCGCAAAGACGCCTCTTTCGGTGTCTCTCACTTTCTGTCTTATGTTTTATTCTCTCAACACACACACACACACCACGCTTTGTTGAACACACGTAACGCAACGACACACATGACACAGCCGCGTGAAAGAGCCGCATTTTCAACATTCGATCACTGCGCTCCGCTGTAACCACCGCGACTGTTGTTCGCTACGCGACTTTCTCACAAGAGCGCGAGAAACTTCGCCGCAATGCCTAGCGCTGTGTATCACCTTGGTCTCTCACCTTGGAGGAACCACCTCGAAGATAACGCGGAGCGCTCCCGAGGAGAGGAGAGAATCGATTCGCCGATCGGTCGATCGATCGGCGGCTGCACCACGAGATCACTCGTACCATACGCACTGAACCGTCACTGCGATGGTCGCTAAGAGATTCCTCGGAGACACCTCGGTCAAGCTTGATTTGAGTTCGCAAACAGAGTTGGAGGATCCAGGCCTCTCGGCTGGCACGGCTGGCTCGACTGACACGTCGCGAGAACGAGAGATACCCCCGCGCGGAGACCAACCCTTCCCTGTCTCTCCGCAACGGTTACGCCGGCGGCGGGAGGATAATGCGACGCGCCTATTGTTATTGGAGCATGTATAATCTGCTCTAGAGATAGCGAGCGAGAAATAGATTCTTAGGCCTTAGCGTTCGGTCATAGCAGACCGGATAGAATCAGACGAGGTCCGCGTGTAGTGTCTCTAGATGCCAGTCTAGCTTCTCGACGTGTCGCGACGTGGCCGTAATCTCTGACTGCGACCCGTGCAGTTTCAGATACCGCCGGTTCGGACGAGGGCTCGGTGGGCGAGGTGAGCATCCAGGTGGATCTCTTCACGCATCCGGGCACCGGAGACCAGAAAGTCACCGTGAAAGGTACACGACTTTGCACTCCCGAGGAGTACATGTCGCTTCTTGTCCAAGTGCTTCTCGTCCGCAAAATTGAACTTCCGACTTTCGCTCGGATGACGATCTCACAACGACAATCCCGCTCGTTTTCAGTCGTGGCTGCGAACGACCTCAAGTGGCAGTTGGCGACAGGCATGTTCAGGCCGTACGTCGAGGTGAACCTGATCGGTCCACACCTCGCTGGCAAGAAGAGGAAGCAGTCGACGAAGTCGAAGAGCAACAACTGGTCGCCGCAGTTCAACGAGAGCTTCGACTTGTGAGTAGAGCTTGATCGATGAATACCGTCCGAGGCAACATTCTCCGCGATTTATCCTTTAAGAGTTGACGTACCTTGACGGAAACATCCGGCTATACGCTCTTTCTTGTCTTCAGCACGATCGGTAACGAGCAGCAGCAGCTGGACTTCCACGAGCTGCACATTTGCGTGAAGGATTACTGCTTCGCTCGGGAAGACAGGCTCGTCGGGGTCGCGGTGATGCAGCTCAAGGACATCGTCGATGAGGGCTCGTGCGCGTGCTGGCTGTCGCTCGGCAAGCGTATCCAGATGGACGAGACCGGCTGGACGATCCTGCGCATTCTCTCGCAGCGCAACAACGACGAGATCGCCAAGGAGTTTGTGAAGCTGAAGAGCGACATCAGGCAGGAGACGCCGCTGCCGAATCCCACTTGAGAAGATGCGACGCCGCGTTAAGCCGACGAGCGAAGCGATTCGAGTACTTCGAGCTTGGAAAGAGCCCGAAGGGGAGCAGGAGGCCGTCCAAAGGGGGTAGCGTTTGACCTTTGGTGCCACGAGAACGAGACCCTTCACGACTAATTCCGAAAGAGAGAAAGGGAGCGAGAGAGAGAGAGAGAGAGAGAGAGAGAGAGAGAGAGAGAGAGAGAGAGAGAGAAAGCGAGAAAGGGAGAGCAAGAGAGAGTGAATGTGAGTGAGAGAAAGCGAGCGACAGAGACACGCGAGCGAGCGAACGAGCGAGAGCGAGAGCGAGAGCGAGAACGAGAGAGCGAGAGCGAGAGAGAGAGCGAGAGAGAGAGAGAGAGAGAGAGAGAGAGAGAGAGAGAGAGTGAGTGTGTGTGTGTGTGTGTGAGAGAGAGGGGTACGTTAACACGCAATTGTACGCATCGCCTGACGAAAACGATCGCCCGAACCCTTCCGTTCGCCGCGACATATTACCGGAAGGTTCCTCGGTCACATCCTCCGCGGAGAGAGACAACGAGAGACTCGATGGTCTCACGGAACTTAAGACCCTCCGGCTTCCTTCACGCCGCAGAGTTCGGTCGAGCGTATTCCTCTCCCTTTTTTACACGAGTCACAGAGCTTTAGCCCCGTCCCTGGACAGCGACGATGCACCGGGAATCATCTTCCACGGATCTCGAGCTAAAACGACGAGCTACAATGAGGGTCAAGCCCGCGTGGCACGCGACGTTTGTCCGGTAACTACTACAATAAGAGAAGGGCGCGGCTCTCCCCCGCCGCCCTTTCGCGGAGCGGAAACTTAGCGGTAGACGAGGAAAGACGCGGAGCTCGACGCCCCGCGTGAGACGAGACGGGAGATACATCGGACTCTTCTTCGTGCGAGTGCCGCGAGCGAGAACGAGGAGATTGGTATACGAAGGAGGAAGGGAGAGAGAGAGAGAGAGAGAGAGAGAGAGAGAGAGAGAGAGAGAGAGAGAGAGAGAGAGAGAGAGAGAGAGTACACAAAAAGAGAAAGAGTGTGTGTCTCGACGAAGACGTGAAAACAGTGCTGCCAGTACGCAATACATTTGGTAATATTCGTAACGTAAGGTAGGACGAGATCACAACGGGGAGCTCGCATGGTGCTTCGGAAACGCGACGGACACTCTCGTGTCGCCGGGCCGGTCGCCGGAAGACTGACCTTCGAAGGGCGAAAGGAGAGGAAGGAGGCAGGAAGAAAATGAAGAAAAGGAGGAGGAACAAGAAAGAGACGTAGGAGCGCAGTCGAGCACACGGGAACGAGGCAAAACGCGAACGAGGAGGACCGCATAACGCACTCCACACACGTACACACATCTACACGCACAAACACACATACACTCGACACGATTATATAGAGAGAAACATACACACACACACACATTACATAGATACGAGCACACGAGAACACGACTTTTACGACACGACCGCGTTTCTAAGCCGTTTGTTCGGGAAGACGAGTTTACTGTAGATACGTGAAAAACGTTGTTGACGAAGAAGTTTTTTCTAATATACAGTTTAAATGTAGCATTGCGTACGACCAAACAGGCGCGCCCTGACCCGTCGCTCACGGCGCGCACTGTTAGTAATAAAAAGAAAAAAAGACACCTAGTAAGGCATTGTAATTGTAAAGTAACGTTCTTATTCGTAAGGATATCAGAGATCGTAAGAGTCTGACCGCCGCCGCCGCCGCCGCCGCTGCCGCCGCCGCCGCCGCCGCCGCCGCCGCCGCCGTCGCTGTTGCTGGCTGCTGCTGCTGCTGCTGCTGCTGCTGCTGCTGCTGTTGCTGCTGGTTGTTGCTTGTTGCGAACGATGCCGAGATCCGCCCGAAAGCTTCGAGAGCACCAAAGCGCGATACGGAAGCCACGATCCTTCTCCGCGTGCTCCACTTCCGCTCGGGGTGCGAACATCCGACGAGAACGGAACCGCGCGCGCGCGCGCGCGCGCGCGAGGCTCCTCTTTCTACGAACCGGCGAGCGCGCTAGCGACCTCGATCGATCTTCCAAAATTCGACTGTACGACTATCCTCGTGTGATCTCGCGCAATCATAGCTTCGATTCACTCTCTCCGTAGCGATCGCTGCTTCTTGTACGGCAACGCGTATCTCCAAAGCAGGACGACGACGTATCGAGACTGGACGTTGAAACTATTCATACTACCCGCTATTATACTGTTACTACTACTACTACTACTACTACTATTACTACTACTACTATGGCTGCTACCTACCGTCTATTAGCTTCATATCGCGTCTTGTACATCTTGCCTCGTACTACTTGTACATAGGGGACGTTCGTCCGTTCGTAGAAACGTGTCGCGTGCGTGAAACACCGCGCAAGCAGCTCGCCTCCGCGCGCGCGCGCGAGAGAGAAGAGAAATCGCCGGATACCGCGCCGGATAATCTCGCGTTCGATTTCTCGCGATCGCGATCACGAAGCTTCGGTCGGATCCCTCCGTGTGAGAAACGCAGGGAAGAGCACGTTGCACGCGACGTCGAATCCGATGAATTTCATCGTCCGGCCGGCGCGCACAGCCGCGCGGCCGGGCACGCAACTCCGGAGATTACGCTATTATATTCAAAAGTTTCTACTACGTAGTACGTCTAGATATACTTACGTATTGTGTATAGTGTCTAAACGCTGATGTAGCTGCGAGCGCGGGATTTTCGATCGGGAAAGAGAATACGGAGGGGAGAGAGAAAGGGCAGAAGAAACAGAAGGCTACTCAAGGAAGGAAGAGAGGAGAGAGAGAGAGAGAGAGAGAGAGAGAGAGAGAGAGAGAGAGAGAGAGAGAGAGAGAATGTCGGACCATCTCAGCCGCGGGTGCTTTTCCAAATTTGAATACGCCGGAGAAGGCCACCGCAAATCGAAGGATTCCGCGCAACGGTGTGTGCGCAACGGGCTCGGGCCTTCCCCGAGAGCGCTAGCTCGAAGAACTCGAAGAGATTAATCCCTCGACGTCGAGGAGGGCAGGACAAAGGGACTCGTCAGCCGTGTTAGAAGCCGAGTATAATTTGTACCAGTTTAGTAGACTTAGATTAATACTCTCGAGTTCTCTCGAGGGAGAAGCAACGGGACGGCGGCAACATCGTTGCGACGAATCCGTCAATTCGAGACAATACATCCTCCGCTAGTCAGGATACCTAGAGCCACGTTGTAGGATCTCACCTAGCGCCTCTCTCAAGTGCGGCGCCTCACGCGCGGGAACAGAGAGGTCCGGTGAAGCACCTGAGACGTCCGTCGTCGTCGTCGACGTTGACGCCGGGTCGACGCGAAGTAGGTAGACAAGCGAAGAAGAGAAGAAGAAGAAAAATCAGAGGGAGAATAACACGGGTCCGCGAGCTCGCCACCATCTTCATTTGTAAGAGTGTCTATTTTCTCCGCTGCCTAACTAAGTGCATACTGACATACAAGAAAAAGGGCTGGCGAATTCGGCAACTTAGACCGGCCTCGTCGACGGAACGCGGCACAACCTTCTCGATTAAACGATAACCTCCGCCGATCGCCTCCTCCCTCCTTTCTTCCCTCCCACCCACCCTCCCTCTGCCTCTGCCCACCGCAGCCGCCGATCGTCGACGGGGTCGGCCAGCAATTTTTCCTCCTACTCTCCGCTTCGATTAATATCTTGTAAGCTTAATGAAAATATCTCGTGTATTCTGTGATAATTATCCCTTAACGAACACACCACACCCTACAGTTTTACACGCACAAAGAGACACACACACACACACGTATACACGAACGCAGGGGGGCACAAGGTGGGAGAAAAATTCTACGGACGTGTACAATTGGAAGGCACGACTACGCGGTTACACCGATCCCGCAACAGTATTTTTCTCTTTTAAACGACACACACACATACACACACACACACACACAGACAGATACACGCCCGTTTCTATCTCTCTGTAATCATTAAAACGTCCGAGGAGTCTCGTCGGGATAAAGAAAATTAACGGAGATGCGTAATAGAGTGATCCAGGCTCGCCTCACTTTCTCTCGTCTGCCGATCCTGTGACCAATTCAGAGTCGGGATTATTGTACACCCCCTAAGCCCCGCCCCTCCCCCCTCCCATCTTATAGAGCGAATTCGATCCTTTTCCACGACTTTTTCATGTTACCGTACGTATCTAAGTCTCGAGTACGCTGTTGAAAGTAAAGTCCACTTCGAATTGAATAAAGATCAAGACTCTCTGTCGTCTTCTCTATTGTGATCATTATTATTTGTCAGATTCTCCTCTAGATTCTCACAACCGGCCATCGCGAACTCAAACAGCAATTGTTCGCCAGCCTCGAGATGCCCCCCCCTCCCCCCAGCCCCGATCGGAACGCTCGACAAAGTCCGCTCGAATCGATCGGAGAATCCGCAGATGGAGCGCGCGGGAAAAACCGGGACACCCTGCGGGTCGCGACACAATACCGAGAGATAACGTGACAGAGAATGGCGACCGATTTTGCCAGCCGCGAAAATTACCGAGAGAGAGAAAGAGGAGTATCGTTCCACCGGAGGTGGATGTCCGAAGGGTAGGGACGAGTTCGCTTCACGCGCCGAAGAGAGGAGAGGATCGTCCCTGAGCCGGACTCGTCGGCGTGTAAACAACCGAGAGACGCGAGTTTTCACAGCAGGAGCGGAAGATCGCTCAACAATGAGACTGAGCGGAGAGAGAAGAGGAGAAGACGAGAGAAAGCGAGAAACAATAGACGAGACAAACACAACCGTTGACAATACTATGCTCGAGAATCGAGTACTTGATGAAGACTCGATAGAGAACCGTAGACGCGCGTAGGACAAACTTCGCGTTTCGTAGGTGTGAGAAGCTCTTATTTAGGAGTTTAAGGGAGCTCGCGAATGCGCCAAGACGTGCACTTCGCCGCGCGTTTATCGGCTACTGAGACGCGATAACGAGAGCGAGAAGATTGAGAGAGACGCGATGGCTGTCTAAGGGCAGCGTCGTACCGTCGTCACAATTTGCCGAGAGCCAGCGAAAAGCCAGGCAGAAGAGGCTGAGAGAAGGGGAGAAAA